ACTTTAAAATTTGGTGGGCTATAGCGAAGAGAGCAAAAATGAAAAACAGGTCATTCAAATTGGTAATTAGCATTTATTTTAATTAATTTGATGACTGGACCAATACAATAAAACAAGTGCGTATTACTTATAGCTATGCTGATTTGAATATGTATTATATTTCGACATCTAATAAAATTTAACTGGAGTTCAATACTATAGAAAAATATAATATCTACATTTTACGATTAAGGTGATAAAATTAAATACTGATCAACGTTAAAATGTTATAAAGTGGTTTGAAAATATAGCACAGTCAGAATAAAAAAAGTATGCGGGTCGCTATTTGTCCATCCCTGTAATATTGTACGTGTGTAACGGATATTGTATTTTTGTGATGAGGCCAGGTTCTTAAGTAACGTTTACATGGTTTACTTTTGGTCAGTAGCGCCGAATTCTGCCATCATGTGTCGTAGCTACAGATCTTTTGGATGGGTAGTAATATCCATAAGCAGTGGTGGCGCAATGCATGTGTTATTGAAACAGATGCTAAAATTACTAATATGACTAAAATGGGGTGGATAGACGGTGTTGTGTCACAAAAAAGTTGTATATATAATTTACAAATATAACATAAAATATTACTGCACATTATTTGGTTTGAATTCATTAATTTTAATATTTATTTATCTACAGGTACAATTTAATTGTAACTTGTGGCTTGTGATCTGGAGTGACTTACGTAACTGCTTTGTTTGAAAATAAACTTCGCACCGCCACTCTTTAAAAGCGATGGTGGTAATTTATAGTTAATACTGAATTACAATTACTGAAGTACAATTCAGTGTATAACGAAATGGATACAAACATAAATTTACTATTAACTATTTAACACATGCCACACATACATAAATATTACACCTTCCTATTGCCTAGTTATTGCATAGTATAGTAATTGTTAATTAATATAATTATACGATGATTATTTTCTACTAAATACAGTACATACGCTCAAACGAAATCATCGATATACATGGTGAGTTGGTGCATAAGGCTGCGACGGTGCAGCTGAGGTATCAATAAGATGTACCATGACCGTTCGGAAATATTATGCAGATTTGTAAACAGACTTGTAAACAAGACTGTGAGGTTAACTCAAAAAGAGTTATAAATAATTTTTCTATGAAGAGTGCGCAGTTACTTAATGTCTTGAAATACTAATTTACTTTAAAAAAAATAACAATTTACCATTAAATATTTAAGTCTTATTTTACTATATTTAATTTTTTTGACTATCATAAAAATAAAATAGCCATAAAATAAAATTGTATATTTATTTTTAATACGTTTATATCATAAAAATAAGATGTGTTATATTCATTAACAGTACTGTGAATAGAGGTTCGCAAAACGGGTGGTTGCCAAAGGCGCAGCGAAGTAAGGGAGCAAGTTTGAGTTGAATTAAATATTATTTTTTTTTGTATAAATTAAGTTGATAAATAAAATTCGCCAAGGGCGCCACGAAGGTTAGTTACGGTACTTTCCATTAAAATTTATTTTATTCTTTTAATAAAATACTTATTACATTACAAACTCGAATTAATAAATGTTCATAAAAAAATTATTATTTTAATTTGTATTTAATGCATTTACATTGAATATAGTAATTAATATAATATCAAGATATTAATTGGGGGGGGAGGCTTATAAGAAAAATCTGGTGGTGGGTGTCTAAGTTATCTTTTACAATTTCACAACATGATCTGATATAAACTTCAGCGGCACTGCTTTTGGTAATCATTTTGGATGTATTCACAGTGAATTATTTAAAATTTAAATTAACAGCTTACATGTTTTCCACTAAATGATTATCCTAAATTATGCATTGAATATTATTTTCAAATTTATAATTAATATTATTTAAATATATATGTATTATATATATATATATATATATATATATATATATATATATATATATATATATATAT